CTGGTACGCTCATAATATATGTAAGTAATAGTGCCACTAAAAAAACCAATAGCAAGCAATTTACTTCTAGATTTAGGTTAACTTTGTTGGGATCTAATCAACACTGTGAGATTTTGTTTTGCAAAAAAGGCGTGCAGAAAATGATTGTTTAGGCTAAGCGCGATTTAATTACTGGATCAGTTGTTGTCCCGATATCGGCAAATACAGCACTCGAAAATATTAAAATATTTCGCGGAGTGGTAACGCTGCTTAGTGGAAGCTTCGCGGTTATTCAGCCAGAGGGTCACATCGGTTTTCTCAAAAACAACAGGTTTCTGTTTTTTTTTTTTTTTCGCAGCCTTTTGCCAAGCACTTGAAATTGTTTATTGCCTGAAAGTTATTTTATGAGTATGCTGTAACATCTTCATTCTTAGTGCGGCACATTTCTGGTGAAAAATGGCCTAAGACGTTTTTTAAGATAAAAAGCATAACATGCTGTACTTTTAAGAAATTGATAAGGGATGATCAGTCCTTTCGAGACTTTGTATGCTGTATTTCCTAAATGAGCACAGTTGCGAGGATTTAGTTTTGTTGCAATTCGTAAGGAAGCGAACATTTTTCTTGGCAATGTAGCGATTAACCATGCTTTATCCTTCTCTTGACATACAGTAGCCGCTGAATTCTCAATAGCTTCGCGGACAGTTCTTTTGGCGATTAATGCAGTTGACATGAATTTTTATTTTGCTATATTGCTCCTCACTATTAACAGAACTGATTATGGCGTAGAGCTTTCTAGAAAGTACTCATTTTACTTCTCATTGTACGCGTTAAGTGGTAATCCATATAGAAGCCTAAATAAATATTCTTTAAAAGTTGGCTTTCTGATGTGTTTGTTGCCTGCAATCGGCAAAGTCACACGTGACTGTGATTGGAATCACAAAATTTGAAATTAGACTGTTAGCTGCTAACGTACTTCTTTAACAGATTCAGAACTAATTGTGCGTTTACGCTGTGCAAAGCTGCACAAAACGCAGACTGCCTCGGGGTTGTCCTTGTGTTTGTGTATGTGTCCGAAGCATCTTTGTTCGCAGCTTTCAACTCGGGAGCCAAAAGCTAATCTGAAAACTTAGGAGAATGTTCCCGCCTAAGTGTGACCCCGCAAGTTTAAAATCAGCCTTCCTGTGTCAGCAGGTAACACGTATGGTCTTCTAAAAGTTTTTACCAGAAAAATTATTATCTCGGGACCAAAAAAGCTAAAAAGCAGAAATTTTGTTGGTGTATCCCCTGCCCACGCACGACCCAGAAAGTTTGAATTCAGCTGTCTCGTCGCGCGAGTAGCATGTGCAGCACCGTGAATGTTTTGACAAAGAAAATTATCTCGGGAATCATGAAAGCTTGGAGGTTAAAATTTTATAGGTACGTCTCCTGCCCACGTACGACCTCGCAAATTTAAACTCAGCTTTTCTGCCTTCTTGGTTACCACCTACGGTCCCGTGAAAAATTTGACGGAAAAATTATTACCTCGGGAAGCACAAAAATTAAGGGGCTAAAATTTTACGATAATTTTACCTGCCCAAATATAACCCCGTAAGTTTAAGCTCAGCCTTCCCCTACGTCCGGGTATCACGTATGATCCCGTGAAAGTTTTGGCAGGAAAAGTATCTCTGAGCCCACGAAAGCTAGGAAGCTAAAACTTTAAGGTAGCGTTTCCTGCCCACTTACGGCTCTGCTAATTTAAATTCAGTATTCACGTATGCATGGGCTCAACGTCCATGTGAAATATTTGGCGGGAATAATCATTATTTAGGGAGCTAGACGAGCTGTGAGGCTGAAAATTTCAAGTGGGTGTTTTCTATCTAAGCAGGAGCTTCACGAACTGAAGTTGGGTTCCTGAACATGTAAAGGTCTCACGCACGGCCACAAAAATCACTCGACCAGTAAGTTAGGTGGTTGAAGTTCTGAAAGGATATTCACCCTTCAAGGTTTCAAATTTAGCTTTCACGCACCTGTTAGTGCATTTTTTTAGTGAAAATTCCACAGCTTAGGAACCAGACAATATTTCAACTATTTTTGCACGGACCAAAGTGCGAAGCAGTGAAAGTTCCTAGCAGACAAATGTTCGTTGTACAGAAGTGCGCAAAACGCATGACCGCACCAGCTGCCCTCGTGCGCGTCGCTGTTTATTTTTAGTTTACCGGTGTTAATCGAAACAGCTGCTCAAAAATGTTATGTAGCCCAGTAACACGAAATAATTAACTCAACTATTCTTTCCAGAAGTGATAACTCATTGAGGGACTTGAAAATTGGTGACTGGGTAGCTGTCGCAGGCGTGCAAAGAGGCAAAAGTATTGCATATGACATTATAAATTTGCCGTCGCTGATTAGTGCGGAAGCACCAACAAAAGTGAAGCGAGGGACAGTACTGGTCAGTTGCCATTAAAATTATGTTTTGATCACACTAGGAAAATTTGC